CTCTCTGCTTTTATTGTAAATTGCTTTGGGATGTTTGCATGATGACATGTCTGTAAATCACAGAGTATTAAAGTATTGATTTAAAATAATGCCCTGTTGTTATCCGCTTACCCTATTATCCTAATGGATATAATATTAAATATCCACCAGGGAAAAATGTTCTCAAGAGCCCTTAAAAGGGAAGGTATAGTTAAAGAACTTAACTCAAGTGTTTGCTAGCTTAGCTAATGGAAGAGTAAAGAGGGAATAAGGGGTCTGATCTGGTCTCCCTTATGAGTATTGACTCATGCCTCAGGAACAGTTCCGGCTTCATGTTAAGTCCATATTCTGTTAGTTTAACAAAGAGAGTGGCCTGCCCTGTAATTATAGAAAGGCAGCAGCAGCAGCCAGATAGGAGTTGTTTTCTTTATCTTTTAAGTGGAAGACAAATGGAGGGTGGTAGGTTTTACCCATTTTATTGTGCTCCCATCTGTAAGGGTGCTTGTCCACGAGCGTGGAGGCTGCTTCAATGTGCTGTAATTACAGCGTGCCAGAGCAGACTCGATTAATTGAGTCTGCTGGAATGTGGTAATTACCGTGCTCCAGCAGCCTCCCATGTCTCATGTATCAGTGTCCCTATGCTTAAAAATGGCAGCAGGGGCACTTGAACTAAAGCTTGTTTGATGATCTTTAGTTCAAGTGCCCCTGCTGCCATTTTTAGTCACAGGGACACTGATACATGAGATGTTATGGCACTTTAATGAGAGAGGCTCTTGGAGCCATTCTAGTTAGTGCCACCCCACCACCCCCAAGGCACATGTAAAAGTGCCCTAAGATTTTAAGGGGAACAAATGGAGAAATAAGATAGTTGGAACATGATGAGGACAATATAATGTTAGCTAAGTCACTAGTTAATGTAAAAACAGGTCTGTGATTTTCAAAATGATTAATGGAAGGATCCTAGGGCCATCACAGGAGTGCTAGCACCCTACTCTGAAGACTATGGATGGGATTCTATGGGAAGACTATGGATGGGGTGTACAATGAAAGCTTAACTCTCTTAAGCAATGATTCTCAACCAAAATGTCACAGCACCGTAGGGCTCTTTGAGACTTAGTAATGTTAGCACTGTTAGGTATGCAAACATGATTCACAGGATAAACATAGAGATTTCAGATAGGAATGCGTAGTGTTAAAACATCCTGACCTGTTGTGGGCTTTCTGAGTTCTTTGCAACAAAAGAATTGCTCTAGTATTTTTCTGACAAAAAAATGAGTGAAAACAAAGAAGTGGAATTTTCTGAGGCATGCCTCAATCAGAAAAATGTTGAGAACTGCTGGTCTTTGAGAATCTTAGCCAGTATCGCTCCTGCAGCTAATTACTTGGAATCACACCCTGGGTAATTGTTTAGTGGTGAGAAAGAGTCTCTAAGTGGATCTTTTATCATGCTGACTTTTGTAGGCTAGTTAGCAATTCTATTAGCTCCTCAGATAGTTCAGTTCCCACCAAACAAACGTCAGTCTCTGAAAACACAAACAACACAAAATTCTCCATCGTCTCCAGACATTAAAAGACCCACTTTCCACTCTTGCATTTTCCTGATACAGCAGCCTGGCTTCTCCTGACAAGCTGTTCCCTCACAGCTTCCTTCTTGCTCCTTCTGGGTTTTTAAGCTCCCAGTGGAATACACTGTCATTGGCATAATGCCCAACATCCTTAACAGGGCTGTCTTTGCCCCTTCTTAAGGGAACAGATCACCCTTTTACAGGGTCAAATAGAAGTAAAAAAACCCCCCAAAAAACAGAACATACTGATGTAAGGTGGCACTAGGAATATAAAGAAAATATTTAGTCCAAAGGAATCAGTTTCAAACATCTAAATAAACTTTTCCATTACAAAGTCCCTTTTGCTCTTCCTTTTCCCTGTCATTTTTCCCTAGGGTCCTTCAAACTCACCAAAAGCATTGTTTTTTTTTGCTTGCTGGGAAAGGTTAAGAGTGTATGTGCTCTTTGATATCCACTTACTCAAGTGGCAAGGTGGATAGAGGGCAGATTTGTCAGAAAAGCAGTAGCCCAATTAAAGGGACTGTTTTATCTCCTAGGAACAAACACAAAGCTCATGATAAGACACTCCCCCCTCCCCCTACTGAAATAGGCTCACTCTACAGGCACTTAGAAACCTTTAAGATGTCATTTTTTTCTTGTTTTTTAGGAGTCTGCTTACTGAGTTATAAGTCTGGTTAACTGAACTCAGGCATTTTCTGTTTCTTAGTGTCTAACGTCTAAGCAGAGGCATTAATTTTCTGCTTGTGACTGTGGTATTTGTATTTGTTGATTTGTGTATTTGTTTTGCCTAGCCAACAGGTATCTCCATCCACTTGCTCCCTGGAGGGATTCCAGTAAGTGGTAAAAGCATTTTAATGGTAAATAGAAAACTTACTAGGTCAGGGGTGCTCAACCCCTGGCCTGCAGGCAAAATCTTTCCCTGGGCACCATGTCATCGGGGCCCTGGGGCTCCCCATGAGTCATGGCTCTATGTGCTAGTTTGGGCACACAGGGTGGCATGAGACCAAATACCAGCATATGGGGTTGTAGAGGGGGCAGGAGAGAAACTGGCTTCCTAATAGCCCACCCAGTAGCAAGTTGTAAGGAAGGCTTGCAGACTACCCTGTCCCTGTTGTCCCCCCAGTGGCAATGGGCGCAGGGCTGCAGTGATGGCAGGGGCTGACGGTAGCAAAACTATTCCCTGCTTTTGGGCAGCCCAAGGCTGAGCATGTTAAACGACTTGTGAGGGCTGGCAATGCTGGGGTGATGGCATTCCCTGCTCTAAGGCAGCTCCAGAGCCCCACACTTGAAAGGGCTCCAGGGCAGCCCTTGTCTCCATCAGCTCTTGCCATGGTGGCAGCAGCTGATCAGGCAGACCTGCCAGTGAGCCCTTCCATCTCACTCACAGGCTCCCTATTTCCCCCTGGCTGGAAAGTGCACCTTTGTGGTAGCTTTGTGGCACTCTAGCCAGGGGGCTTTGAATGTGTGGCTGTCCATAACACCTAATATTTTTGTAACACTACCAACTTTGTAGCACTTTAAAAATAACATCTCTCAGGGCCCTATGTTATCTCTTCCATGCTGTACAATTAAGGTGGATGGTTTTGCTGCAATGAACCGTGGAATGCCAAATTGTACTGCTCTGTGCCTATTACCCTTGACATCAAGAGGCATAAGTTCGTATTCAAAAGCCAGTTTATGACTTTAATCCTCATATCTGCTTCTCCTTCCCTTTGATTGTCCCTTCTCCATTTGCAAGGGTAGGTGTTTAAGGTAGTGACTGTGGTTCTTTTGTATTGTATGAAGTGTCCACTGAGCTGGGTGGAGTTGTCTGCCATTTTGGTATCTGTATGCTCTTTTGGTGCTAGATGACTAAGTAATGATAACCCTGTATGACTACTCTGGAAAGGTTGAAGGCATGCAGTAGCAAGAGCCCCAGGCAGTGGGATATACTGGGGGTAAGGGGGAAAACATTAATGACCTTGTATACTGAATTTGCTGCAAGAACACATTCTGCCTGCAGCTGCATATGCACACATTCCCCAATGAGTTCTGTGAAGATGACTTATGTATAACCAATGGGAAAATTACTTCAGGGATAAGGCTCTAATTTCTACTCCTTTCCAGTAGAAAGTGTATCCCACTCCTTTAGGCTCCTTTGAAGATCGTAGCTTTCACCTTTAGAGTACAATTACCTTCACGCACAGTGTGTGCCCCTAGCGGCTGGGAGGACACAGCAGCACCACTGCTGGCAGGAGCCTGGCGGCAGGGAGCTCCTGCAGACACCACCAGGGCCGTCAGTGGTGGCGGTGTGTAGCAAGCGCCGACCACCCACAGGCACCTCCGGCATCAGTGGCAGTGGCCAGGGGCGATCAGGGCTGGCAGCGGGGTGGTGAGTGGCGCGTTTTTTGAGGAGTGTAATAACAGTGTAATAACAATGTTGGCCGTGCCTTTTTGCAGGGGGTGCACTGCCATGTGCAGGGGGTGCACATGCACCCGCATGTACCCCTATGCGTTGCCCCTGATTACCTTGTAAGCCATAGTGACATTTTTCAGGGACAAAGGACAGAAAGTTTTAACTTTCAATAGGTACTTGACGGGAGTCCAGGTACTAGGATCCAACCTCATTATTACATTTCTTTCAAGACAGTCTTATAATTTCCTGAATTACCATAATGAGGATTAATTTGACTTCCAGGATACCTTACATTGTCCCTATGTCTGTACAAAAGACTTATTATAAAATCTTTTGAAACTCCCATGGTTCAGGAGGAGGTCAGGAGCCATTCATTTGTGTGCTGCTGAAACAGAGGTTTATGAGGCAATCTAATCTTGCCGCAAATGTCATTCTTGGCTTGGCTTCTCAGCCTTTTTTGGGATCCAGAAGGGTGCTCTCTTGTGTGGGAAAGCCTGGGCAACATGAACTGAAGGAGCAAAGAGATGCAGTTGCATAGGTCTTGTTTTTCCTGTAGGGCTAGGATCTAGGTAGCCAGCAGAAAGGCTTTCAGAAGGGTCCATCTGCAGGGGAGTCTTAAAAAAAAGTCAGAGCTGGAGTTTTAGCAGGGACTGTCTTTAAGCCCCTCCTCTTTGGGAAGAAGTTGGGGAGGATACTTGAACACAGCAAAAGGGAAATCAAGAACATTCAAGCAATGTGTACATGTTTTGGTGCTAAGTAAGCACAGGAAAGACCTTAGTATCTGAAAATAATGTCATTATGCAGGTGAAAGGGAAGCTAAGCCCAATAATGGCTAATGTCATTGTATTGAACCTCCAGAAAGGCAGTCATTGCATCTGGTCCTGTGCCCCTTTTACATCAAATGGGAATTACACCTGAATACAGACTAACAAGGCTCTTAGTGTTGCTTTCTTTATGTATTTCTCATGTTCTCCCAGTGTGGTTGCTCCCATGCATGACTGTTTTGTCAGTTGCTGTCACAATCAACGTTCAGTTGTCTTCATTAATGTTTTTCCCTTTAGACTGCCATCCGCTGTGCCATCAATGCGTGACTGATCTCCACAACACTGGCAGCATCTGCCTGAAGTGCCAGAATGCCCGTCACTTCTTACTGGGAGATCATTGTGTTCCTGACTGTCCCATGGGATACTATGCAGAAAATGGAGCCTGTAAAAGTGAGTAGCATCTGAAGGCAGAAGCTAGTGAGAAGACATCAGGATCTGCTTGACAGCTGCCATGAAATCATTCCTTTGGAGTCAGTGGGGTGCAGTGGATGTGGCACTGAACCAAGACATAGAGGACTGGGGTGCTAATAGTTTCTGCTGCTGTTCTAGTGTGTGATCCTTGGCAAGTCACTTCCCCTTTCTGTGCCTCTGTTTCCACTTCCATCTTTTGTCTGTCTTTAAATTGAAGGGTGCCTGGGACAGGGCCTCCCTCTCGCTTTGTCTTTGTATCGTGCCCATCCCAGTGTATGCCTGCTTTCAGTGGGCCTCTAAACACTGCTGTAACACAAGAACAACAGATGCCAGACAGCAAGGAGGTTATATGGAAGAGAAGGTGGTTGCTCTAGGAAGTGATGGTTTAGGGAATGTATTCTCTGGCGGTTGTTTTTTGGGTGAATATGGTTATAGAGATCCAAGGATAAAGAAGCAAAGTCATCTTTTAGATGCCCTTCACCAGGCTCCCACTGTGACTCCCTGGCCCATCCACATGATGAGAGAACAATATTAGGAGATCATTCTTCAAAGGGATATCTTGGGTATCCATCTGTCTTTGCTCATAAAGGATGGAACTGCTGATGTAGGAGACTTAAGTATAATGGGTAGAGAATCCTGGGTCCCCTGAAGTCATTAGCAAAACCCCCCTGACTACATTGGATATCACCCTATACATGTCGTAAGTAGACCCTGGATTAGCCTACAGGGATTTTTCAAATTGAGAACATCTTTAAGTCCTTAAATGGCATTTTACTGAGGTTGCTCAGCATCACAGGAGAAGTGCCTTAAAGAGCACTTTTAAAGGATCTGTAGAGACCTGCTTAGAAGACTTGTTTTTCTTTGAATGGAAGCTTTTGTTTTTTCCTTCCCTTTAGGGTGTCACCCCTCATGCAAAACATGTAGCAGCAGAAGCCCTTTCTCATGCTCTTCCTGTGAATCCAGTTTTGTTTTGTCTCACACTGGCTTGTGCACTTCAGCCTGCTTCCCTGGACACTACAGGGATGGGAGCCAGACATGCAAACGTAAGTGCCCCCCATTATGTGCTCCCTCTTCTGCAAAATGGAGTTGCAGATGCTTTCTGGGCTTTTCGAGGGTGTCACTTTCGACAAGAAAAGCCTTTAAGTGTCTTCATCATCTGACAGATGAAAATGATAAAGTATGGGTAGTGAATGGATATACCAGTTCCTGAAGCTTTCATCCAAAGCATGCTTTGGATGTAAAGTCAATGGCAAATTTGCTATTGACTTGAGTAGAAGTGAGCTTGGGGTCTTTCTCAAAACATTGTGGATGCCTTTATCAAGAGCATGAACTAAGCTTCATGAATTGTTAATAACATTACTCTGCAGCAGAGACCAGAAGAAGCAACTGTTGGATTCCCTGTTTAATAAGAATAGTTAATTTCAGTGGAGCTCAACCTTGAGTCTGTGCTGAACTGTGAGAGCCTTTGGTCATCAAAACAAATCTGTCAGGCTTGTTTTTCTGTATATGTGGGGCCATATTTTCAGAACTTTGCCTGTATGATTCTGTAGACAAAATTGAACTTGCATTTCATCAAGCAAGTACTCTGATTGTATTTGAGTTAACCAATTATTTGAGCATACAATTAACATACCTAACTGGCATTTGTATATGCAACTGACGCATTTTCTAGCACAACTGTGGCACCTGCAAGTGAGGTATGCAAACCCACAAAGTTTTTTGACTGTGTAGATCTGAGAATATTAGCTCTGACTGTATTGTTCCCCTCCAAATGGCTGCCTGTTATTAAAAGCATAGTGTAGGCAGGTCAGTGTCAGACAGGACTTTCAGTACCTAGGCTACACTGTGTATAATTCCTTTTTCTTCTTTTGCTATTAAATAGTATAGCCAAGAGTTCTAGTATTAGTGCTGAATACAGTTTAGAATTGGCTGAACATCCTGAGAAATTCAGGCTCCTGGCATCAAAGAGTTGAGGTGCAATATTTTGAATGTTGATTTGTGAACTGCCAGATTATTCTTTTCTTGTCCATATGCATTTCAAAACACCTCTCATTTCTAGCAACAGGTAATATATACAAGCAGGAAATGCTTGGTGAATATTAGTAGTTATGTGACATAGAAGGTCTTAATGGTCCATTTTGGCATTCAGATCTATGAATCTTCATAAAAATGCTCTAAGAAAACTTCTTTGGAAATTTGAATTTGAGTTCAAAGCTGGAAGTTGGTTCTCTGAATTATCAGTCCCTATGCTCTCTCCAGATGTGAGAAGGCCATACCTCACCTTATATTGATGTCAGACATCTCTGTTTGGTAAGTACAGAGAATAGAATTAACAAGTTCTATGTCCAGCACTCTTTTTTGCCTGGAAAGAGGATTTTCACTTTGTTGGCCCTTGGTATGGTAGCAAATGAAAACTTTCTAGAAGCTGCTCCAGAAGACACTCCAAAGAGTAGTTTCCATAGTGAAGATGCAGGCAATTCTAATATCATTTAACCTGCACAGCTGCCTAGTGATTCAACAATTGCTACATTTTTTCCTCTGTATTTCTCTCCATATACAGCTTGCAATAGCCAGTGTCTGAGCTGTGAGTCGATGGCAGGCTGTACGTTATGCAGAGACTTGACTAAGGTCCTGTTGTTTGGCGAATGCCAGTATGAAAGCTGCACTCAGCAGTATTATCTTGATTTCCTCACTAAGACTTGCAGAGGTGAGACATATATTGTTGAAATATAAAGTTTAGTTTGTGCTTATACTCTGGGGTACTGCAGCATAGTCTGCTTAGGTGATCTGCTAAAGTGAAAAAAAGTGGTTTTTACTTCCTTCTTTTTTTCAGCTGTCTGCTGCCCCATGCCTTAGTTCTCTGTGAATAACAAGATTAGTGTAAATCCTTCCCTTGTAAATGATTTAGTAAGGGAGTCATCAGACTTTGCAAGGGTCAGGTTTTGCAATTTACTCAGACATGGGTCAACTGAGTAATGAGTAAGCTTAGCATTCTAAATCTTTTTTAAAGTTCTTGTAGAGTCTTGTGTATTTACCTGATTGTTTCTGCTTTTATTAAGTACTGCACCACTGAACCAAAAAAATGGAGAAAGATTTAAAAGGCACATGACTAGAAAGATTTCCAAAACCCCCATAGGAAATATGCCATAATGGAAATGTGGTCTGAAGATACTATGGCTTTATCATGGGCTGCCATTGGTATTCAAAGGTCTAGAGTACAGTAATTATTATTCAATATTGATTTCTAGCTATCTCTCCTTAAGCCCAACTTAACTTAGTCATGTGGGTCTCTTAACTATTTCAGTACTTTAGAGAAGCATTGTGGCTTAACACGTAAGGGATTGGGCTGAGAATCAAGGGTCTAGTCTTGCCTGTGCTACAGACTTGCTGGGTGCATCTACACATGATGCTACACTACCGTAGCAACACGCTATGGAGATATAGCATCCATGGGCAAAATCCATGAGGCTGCAGCTACGTTGCTGTAGTAACACACTCCCTGGTTATAGTATGTTGCTACGGTGACAGTGCCTAAGTATAACTGTGGGCAGTACCAGCTGTTACTGCGCTGTCTTTTACTACTTCCAAAAGGAAGTACTGAATGTCAGTGCAGTAACAATGGTACCACAACAGCACATGTAGATGAACCCATTGTGTGGTGTTTGGAAAGTTGCCTTCCCTATGGGCTTTTGTTCCCTCTCCCTCTCCCTGTCTATTTTGTCTGGATACACACATTCAAATGATCCAGGAGAATTCTCCCATCTCAGCATGCTCAGCAGATTCTGTCTGCCTGGAGGAAGATCGCAGTAGTGCACAGGGCAGCCCTGATTGGCTGACCCAAACTGCTTAGGGTCAGCCTGTGTCCCCCTGCAGCACAATGTGATATTGTGGAAGGGGAATGTTCCATTTCCTGCTTGGCTGTAACAGCAGAGTCCAGCGAGCGATATACTGTCTCCCTGGAAGTCGGGCAAAAAGGAGGTGGGAGTAGAACACCCTGGGAGGCTGGAGGCATGTGTAGTGGCTTTTCTCAGAAGAAAATATGTACAGACATTCACTCTCCCAGCAGAAACTCTCCTAGGAGTGATTTAGCTCTGGTTGTTCCCGAGTTATTTTTCTCTTGGAGTGACCATTTTTTGCTCTGGGAGCAAACTCCTGAACATCTGTTAATCGTGGTTTCTCCTGGGAGAGCATTGACTGTCCCAGGAGAAACTGAATGTGTGAACCTTGCCTTTGTTACATTGCAAGCTCTATGAAGCAGATATTGTTTGGCATTATGTGGTGATACAGGATCTAACACCCTAGGGTCCCAGTTTTGATTGGGGCTGCTCAGTGTTACTGCACTACTAATACTGTATATCAAACTCCACTTTGGAGATGCACAGACTTTGCAGCAGACTCCAGCAACACCAAGGGCATCTGAATGCACAGCTGAACTGAGCCACATTCACTGTATTCTTCTATCTTGAGGACTTCCCAGGAAGGCATTTTGACTAGAGTCTGACCCTCCCCTTTTTTTCAGTTAGAATAACTGGGAAAGCTTCAGAATCCCAGGACCTGCCGCATGTGAAAGTCGCAGGGATTCATTAGTACTTATGAAGATAAGTACTAATGAGCAACAAGCTCAGTTGGCAGGTGAGGACTGGTGGCACTAAAAGATAAGGTCACCCCTCTCTAGCTGCTAAGCTGCTTTGCTGAGAGGCAATGAACAATAGCTATCCATGGCTGTATTTTAGCATAATTAGGAAATGTTAAGCCTAAGAGGAAAATATCATGCTGTTGTAAGAAGACCCTTCTTCAGAAATCATTTTTATTTTAGATCTGTTACTCTGTACTTATTTCAGCCTTCACAGTTAGGCAGTTAGCCTCCACATCAGTGTGCTAAACCACTGGTACAATGCTAAATGCCCATAACAGGGCTGCCCTACTTGAGTATTTCTTTTATTCCAGAGTGCGACTGGAGCTGTAATGCTTGCAAAGGTCCCCAGAGGACAGACTGTCTACAGTGCATGGATAATTTTGTTCTTCACAATGGGGCTTGTGTGGAACAATGCCCACAAGGTTTCTACAAGGAATCAGACATTTGTCAGAGTGAGTCTGTGGGCTGCTGCTTTTAGTTTTTGTTACAGTATCATACTGCATTAGTTTATTTTTCAGTTTGTCTCTCATTGTCATCTGCTTGTCTCTCATTTTAATCTGCATGTATGTCATGGTTTAGCCCTTTGGCTCCCCTAACCACATGCATATGATATATCTTTGCATCTTTGTTGATCATTGATGCTCAGCTCTGATTGACTGAGGAGTCATGAGAACAGTCAGTGCTAGTCAGAGAGCCCCAATAGCATTTATGCTTCTCTGTGAATTGTGGTTGTTATGTCTTGTGTTGTGTCAGGGTGACAGAATAGTTTTACTAAGAGGTTAGATTTGTATAGGACTGTTTAGCTAGGGATGATTCTGCCTCAGGCAGAGGCTGGAGTAGATGACCTATAGAGGTACCTTCCAGCCCTACTTCTTTATGATTTATCATGGTATAAAAGAAAGAAAACCTGCAATATGTAATTGCATGTCTTGCCTTAGTTTAATTTCATATATTGCATTATTCATGATTGAGAGAAGGACATACCCAACACATGCAGAGAAAAGCATAGTTTTCATAACAGTAGCAGTACAAGGTCCACTTGCTAGCATATATTTGGTACTGAATTATTTTGGCTTCCTTGGTGTTTGTTTTCAGGATGTGATGACCACTGCCTCCAGTGTCACCAGCCAATGGAGTGCACTCTTTGTGAAGCTCCATTTTTTCTCTTGGGAACCCAGTGTGTCCGTGAATGTGGGAAGAAATATTATGAAGACCATGTGAAACAAAAATGTGCAGGTGAACAGACCTGAGGTAGAAAGGTGGAAGGGGATTGAGGTTGCAACTTTTTCTGTTCCATTCATTAATTCACATATCAAGGCGTAGGCAAACAAGGAGCATGATGTGAAATGTTGTGAAATTTACTGCTGACTAAGTGAAATCAATTTGAGGAACAGCCTGTGTCTGCAATGGCATAAGTAAGGTGGGACAATCAGGACAGGTGCCATGGGCACTGAGTTGGGTGGGGGGAAGCAGAAAAAAACAGCTGCCACTGCAGCCCTACAATTGCACCAGTGGCATGGCAGCAACTGGAAGTTATTGCTGCCCCTGAGTGTGGCACCTGCCCCAGCTGCCCAGCCATATTCATAGTTTCATAGATTAAGGGTCGGAAGGGACCTA